AGGAAGAAATAGAAGATCTTAACAAACCCATCACAAGCAAGGAAATCGAAACTGTAATCAGAAATCTTCCAGCAAACAAAAGCCCAGGACCAGATGGCTTCACAGCTGAATTCTACCAAAAATTTAGAGAAGAGCTAACACCTATCTTACTCAAACTCTTCCAGAAAATTGCAGAAGAAGGTAAACTTCCAAACTCATTCTATGAGGCCACCATCACCCTAATTCCAAAACCAGACAAAGATGCCACAAAAAAAGAAAACTACAGGCCAATATCACTGATGAACATAGATGCAAAAATCCTTAACAAAATTCTACCAAACAGAATCCAACAACATATTAAAAAAATCATACATCATGACCAAGTGAGCTTTATCCCAGGAATGCAAGGATTCTTTAATATCCGCAAATCAATCAATGTAATACACCACATTAACAAATTGAAAGATAAAAACCATATGATTATCTCAATAGATGCAGAAAAAGCCTTTGACAAAATTCAACATCCATTTATGATTAAAACTCTCCAGATGGAGAAGGAAATGGCAACCCACTCCAGTGTTCTTGCCTGGAGAATCCCAGGGGCAGCAGAGACTGGTGGGCTGCTGTCTAAGGGGTCACGCAGAGTCAGACACGACTGAAGTGACTTAGCAGAAAAGAATTAAATGATGCAGTGTGCAGCAACATGGTGGACCTAGAGGTTATCATACTAAGTGAAGTAACAGCCAAATATCATATGATATCACTTACACGCAGACTCTAAAACAAGCCTATTTATGAAACAAGCAGTCCCACAGACATATTAAACAGACTTGAAGTTGCAAAGGGTGGGGTAGAGGAGGAAAAGAGTGGGAGTTTGGGATTAGCAGATGCAAATTTAGCCACTGGCCCACCAGGGGAGTCCAGAAGACTGTTGGTTTTTAATGATTAATGTGGTAAAAGCAGGGTTCAGGAATCAAACCTCTAGTTCTCATTTATTCTAAGCAAGCAAAAAGTTCTCACAGTCAACATTACTGCCTCCTTCAAACCTGATCAAATTTTACATAACTTAAGATCTATAGTTTTTAAAGTCCTTCTCAGGTTCACTATTGTGAAATTAATTATATTTTAGCTATCTTTCCTAAAGTGTTAAGATATTACAATTGGCTCAGTTACTGAAGCAAATTTGTGATAAAATGTATTTCTAAAAATAAACATTGACATAGAGAAGAGACGTGTGGTCACCAGGGGAGAAGGGGTGGGGAAGGGATAGGAGTTTAACATTAGCAGATGCAAACTAATATATACAGGCTGGGGAGACAACAAGATCCTACTGGATAAACCATGATGGGGGAGAATATTGGAACAAGAATATATGTATGACTGAATCACCTTGCTGCACAGCAGAAATTTAACACTAAACAAATCAACTATATTTTAATAAAGTTTCTTTTAAAAAAGTAGCGAAACCTATCTTTAGTCAAAATCAACTAATAATTTCTTTGGTAAAGTTATTCAATCCCAAGTATCTATCTTTAACTCAGAATGTGATCACTGGAAAAGTTTTGGTAACGTTTGGATTCTTAACATTTTTACTGTTTATTGTTTTATTATGCCTCAAGGTATACATTTTATATCAAATAAAAAGCTTAGCAAAAAAAAAAAAAAAAAAATAAAACTCTCCAGAAAGCAGGAATAGAAGGAACATACCTCAACATAATAAAAGCTATATATGACAAGCCCACAGCAAGCATCACCCTCAATGGTGAAAAATTGAAAGCATTTCCCCTGAAATCAGGAACAAGACAAGGGTGCCCACTCTCACCACTACTATTCAACATAGTTTTGGAAGTTTTGGCCACAGCAATCAGAGCAGAAAAAGAAATAAAAGGAATCCAGATAGGAAAAGAAGAAGTGAAACTCTCGCTGTTTGCAGATGACATGATCCTCTACATAGAAAATCCTAAAGACTCTACCAGAAAATTACTAGAGCTAATCAACGAATACAGTAAAGTTGCAGGATATAAAATTAACACACAGAAATCTCTTGCATTCCTATACACTAACAATGAGAAAACAGAAAGAGAAATTAAGGAAACAATACCATTCACCATTGCAACAAAAAGAATAAAATACTTAGGAGTATATCTACCTAAAGAAACAAAAGACCTATACATAGAAAACTATAAAACACTGATGAAAGAAATCAAAGAGGACACAAACAGATGGAGAAATATACCGTGTTCATGGATTGGAAGAATCAATATTGTCAAAATGGCTATACTACCCAAAGCAATCTACAGATTCAATGCAATCCCTATCAAACTACCAACGGTATTTTTCACAGAACTAGAACGAATAATTTCACAATTTGTATGGAAATACAAAAAAACCTCGAATAGCCAAAGTAATCCTGAGAAAGAAGAATGGAACTGGAGGAATCAATCTGCCTGACTTCAGACTATACTACAAAGCCACAGTCATCAAGACAGTATGGTACTGGCACAAAGACAGAAATATAGATCAATGGAACAGAATAGAAAGCCCAGAGATAAATCCACGAACCTATGGTCACCTTATCTTTGACAAAGGAGGCAAGGATATACAATGGAAAAAAGACAACCTCTTTAACAAGTGGTGCTGGGAAAACTGGTCAACCACCTGTAAAAGAATGAAACTAGAACACTTTCTAACACCATACACAAAAATAAACTCAAGATGGATTAAAGATCTAAATGTAAGACCAGAAACTATAAAACTCCTAGAGGAGAACATAGGCAAAACACTCTCCGACATAAATCACAGCAGGATCCTCTATGACCCACATCCCAGAATTTTAGAAATAAAAGCAAAAATAAACAAATGGGACCTAATGAAACTTAAAAGCTTTTGCACAACAAAGGAAACTATAAGCAAGGTGAAAAGACAGCCCTCAGATTGGGAGAAAATAATAGCAAACGAAGCAACAGACAAAGGATTAATCTCAAAAATATACAAGCAACTCCTCCAGCTCAACTCCAGAAAAATAAATGACCCAATCAAAAAATGGGCCAAAGAACTGAACAGACATTTCTCCAAGGAAGACATACAGATGGCTAACAAACACATGAAAAGATGCTCAACATCACTCATTATCAGAGAAATGCAAATCAAAACCACAATGAGGTACCATTACACACCAGTCAGGATGGCTGCTATCCAAAAGTCTACAAGCAATAAATGCTGGAGAGGGTGTGGAGAAAAGGGAACCCTCTTACATTGTTGGTGGGAATGCAAATCAGTGCAGCCACTATGGAAAACAGTGTGGAGATTTCTTAAAAAGCTGGAAATAGAACTGCCATATGACCCAGCAATCCCACTTCTGGGCATACACACCGAGGAAACCAGATCTGAAAGAGACACGTGCACCCCAATGTTCATCGCAGCACTGTTTATAATAGCCAGGACATGGAAGCAACCTAGATGCCCATCAGCAGACGAATGGATGAGGAAGCTGTGGTACATATACACCATGGAATATTACTCAGCCATTAAAAAGAATTCATTTGAATCAGTTCTAATGAGATGGATGAAACTGGAGCCCATTATACAGAGCGAAGTAAGCCAGAAAGATAAAGACCATTACAGTATACTAACACATATATATGGAATTTAGAAAGATGGTAATGATAACCCTATATGCAAAACAGAAAAAGAGACTCCGATGTATAGAACAGACTTGTGGACTCTGGGAGAAGGCGAGGGTGGGATGTTTCAAGAGAACAGCATCGAAACACGTATATTATCTAGGGTGAAACAGATCACCAGCCCAGGTTGGGTGCATGAGACAAGTGCTCGGGCCTGGTGCACTGGGAAGACCCAGAGGGATCGGGTGGAGAGGGAGGTGGGAGGGGGGACCGGGATGGGGAATACATGTAAATCCATGGCTAATTCATTTCAATGTATGACAAAAACCACTGCAATGATGTAAAGTAATTAGCCTCCAACTAATAAAAATAAATGAAAAAAAAAATAAAAAAAAAAAATTAAAAAAAATTAGCAATGGTGTTAGACACTGGCAGAATTCATCTAAATTTCACAAATAATCTACATTGTAGACGTACTGTTCTTTCAATGAAAGCTGTTTTCCTAAAAAAAAAAAAAAAAACCCTTTGAAAATAAATTCCTGAAAGTATTTTCCAACAACTTGTATTATAATTTCAAAGAATAACAGAATAACAGAAATGCCCCAAGTAAACACTTTATTAATAAATCAAAACTCTTAGCAAACAACAGGAGAACTCACGCTGCAGAATGGCATATACCCTGGTGACCATAACTCGGGTATGCAAACAAGAGCAACACACAAGACCCTGGGCAACTCACACCCCTTACATGTTTCCTCATCTAGCAGATAATAAATAAATGAATAAACAATAAAACAGATGGTCTCTCCTGCTAAACAAAAAGTTCAGGTATTTTTTAATGCCTAGGAAGTAGATAAGACACCCAGTCCTTTAGAACTGGGTGAACATGGAAGAACATCCAGTATAGTCACTGACAAACTTGATGCAAACCCTCCTAAGACTTCCTAGGTTAACAAATGAAGAAATCTTATTCCTCTATATAATACGTACCTCTGTTGGATTTTTTTAATTAATTTTATTTTTTGCTACACCTCACAGCATCTGACTTCCCTGATCAGAGATCTAACCTGGGCCCCTGGCAGTGAAAGCGCTGAGTCCTCACCAAGTTAGGCTTCCCAGACTTTTTATAAAACCTCACATATTCAACACACATATACATGAGATTATTTGAGGCCTGATCTGTACTATAGGAACTTTATAGTGGTTTTTCCACAAGTAGAAAGTTAGTACACATTTATATATTAAAATAAAACTCCACTTAAACATACTTTTAGGTAAAATCAATCCCCTAATATCTAACAACTGCACAAAATGAAAGCTAGATATGGCAGAATAGAAGATTCAATAAGACAGAGAAATCTGTGCAAATATACAGATGCAATGAAATTATATACAGACCTTTTTTCAGCCGGGATTTTTGAGATTCAGCAGACGCAGGAACCTGAGTTCTCTGAAATGAAGAAGCCTATGTTAAAGCACCAACATAAATCTTGCTAGCTTAAAGAAGCATTCAAATAAAAATCATCATCAGCTCTCCAATCATGCAAGTAATCCGTTAACTGCATAAAAGTACAAAGAATTATTTTGAATGTGGTTTAAAAACCAAATGTCAAGTTGTACTTTTGCTGTCCCAACTATTAATAATGCATAATGCATATTTATTATATATACGTACAATGTGCATTTATTACATAGAACTGTAATGTATGATATAAAGTATATAAATAAATGTGCTAAGTTTGTAGACATATTAGTATTATAAAACATATTAGTATTATACTTAATGCTATAATGCTTAGCACCCAAACCAAAAAAGTGACAATTTTGATAAGAGGAAGCTTATAAGGTCATCTACACAGAGATGATCTAGCACTCAATTCTAGGATGGAGTATTTTTAAAGAGTCATTATTTAATATCATAGGCACACTATTCTATACTATAACTTGGCAGAAAATCTTCAAATGATTTTTTTTTTTTTTAATCTGCCTCCCATGTTGTGTATAAGAAGCTTCCCAGGTGGCACTAGTGGTAAAGAATGTGCCTGCCAATGCAGGGTATAAGTAAGAGATGCAGGCTCTATCTGGGTCAGGAAGAATCCCTGGAGGAGGGCATGGCCACCCACTCCAGTATTCTTGTCTGGAGAATCCCATGGACAGAGGAGCCTGGCAGGCTGCAGTCCAGAGGGTCACACAGAGTCCGACATGACTGAAACGACTTAGCATGCATGTATGTTGTATATAAGCAAAAATAATGGCTGAAAATTTCCAGAGGTAATGAGACAAACTAATCTTTAGATTCTGGATGCTCAACCAATTCTAACCAAGTTAAATTAAAATAAATCCACACTTAGATACATCATAGGACCTCGGCAGTGACAATAAGTTCTTAAAACCAGCCAAAGGAAAAAATGTATCACCAGATTATCTGCAACAAAACGACAATTAGACTGACAGCTGACTTCTCAACAATTAAAAACAGAAGATAATATCATTGACATTCTAAGAATAATTAGAATAATTAGGTACTAATGTACCTTACCCAAGAGTAAAATACTAAGGAAAGTGAATATTAACCTAGACATGACATCAGCAAACTATGGTTCACAGGTCAAATCCAGCCTATGCTCTGTGGCCTGCAAGATAAGAATGACTTATACATTTTACATATTAAAAAATTTTTTAATATTTGAGAACACATGAAAATTATATAAAAATCAAACTTCAGTGTCTAGAACAAAAATGTTATCAGAACAGTTACACTCACATGTTTACATATTGCCTATGGATGATCTCCACTATATGTGCATAACTGACTGACTTGTGACAGAGAATATATGGCCCATGAAGCTCAGAATATTTACAACTGTCCCCTAAAACAGTTTGTCAATTCCCAATCTGAACTCTTACACCAATCAAAACTAACATTCAAGAACAATGGCAAAATTTAAAAGTCTTCCAGACAAAATGTGAGTTTTTAGAATTCCTAAATAAGTTCTAACGAACATACATTAGGAAAAAGGAAAATAATCTGAGGCAAGGAGTAGAACAACTAAAGGAACTGGTAAAATATGCAAGTATAAGCATCTACTTACTGAATAAAACAAAAAGTATAATTTGTGGGGCTGAATTGAGAAATACAAGAACTAAAAAACTGAACAATGGCATAACTGGCAGAAAGCAACGGGTAATAAAACATTTGATGATCCCTGTATTATTCAGGTTTAAGTATGAACTTTCAGTTAAATACATACTATTTAAAAAATCTGAGTACTCTCTTAAGGAAGATGAAAGTCAGAATAGAAGGAGAAAAAAATGAAATTCTCTAGCTAAAAGACAGATTGCCAGAATGCTTTTTTTTTTAATCTAGATATATGCTATCTGTATAAAGAAACATCTAAAATAAAAGGGCAAAGGAAAAGAAAGTAAAAGGGAGAACAGATACACCAGGAATACAGAAGCAAAAAAGGAAAAGTAGCTATATTAACGTTTAGACAAAGCAGACTTCAAGAAAAAAGCTTCACTGGGAAAACGAAAACAAATTAAAATAGATTGAAAACTAATAATGGAAAGGGCAAATTTTAAAGCCTTTAAAAAATACATAGGGTAGGGAAGTTTTCAACAAGATATAAAAGCACAAACCAATTAAGAAAAGACAGAAACATTCAACTACATTGCAATTAATAACTTCTGGGGACTTCTCTGGTAGTCCAGTGGTCAGGACTTGGCGCTTTCAGTGCTGTGGCCTCGGGTTCAACCCCTGTCAGGGAACTAAATAAGACCTCTTGAGCTGCGCAGCACAGCCAAAAAATAACTTCTGTTCCAAAAAGGAAGTGAAGACTGAAGACTGAGGGAAGATATTATACAATACAAAACAAAGCCAAAAAAGACAACAGCCAGTAACTGTAAGTATTACAAGTCAGTAAGAAAAGCAAATATTGAGGTAGAAAATTAAATAAAACACAATAACTAGGCATTGCAGAGAAAAGGAAATGGAGACAACCAACAATACTAATTAATAATCAGGGAAATGTAAATTACTATCATTTAAGATTTCATATCCACCATGTTGACAAAATTTAAAGCTCTAACAATAACAAGGATGTGAGCAATGGGAACTGATGGTAGAAGCATAAATAGCTACAATCATCTCAAAATTTCCCATAAGCTATAAAGTTAAAGATGTATGTAGCCCATAAACCAGCAATCAATCCATTTCGAGGAATACCCTGGGGGAAACTCTTAGATCAGGATACAGATATAAAAGTGTTCATAGCCATGTCTGAGATACTACTAAATTCTGCACCCTTAGTACTTCAGTTGCCTTACTCTAGTCCTGGCCCTGTTCACAACAGCATTTTTTTTTTTTTTTCAATCTTTTTTTTTTTTTTTAATTAAAAACCAGAAGGGAAAAAAAAACAAACACTGAACTCACAGAAACAGAAACTAAAAAAGTGCTTGCCAGGTGTTATAGGATGAATATGGTCTAAGGATCTAATGTATAACATGGTGACTATATTCAATAACACTGTATTGAATAACTGAAATTTGCCAAGAGAATAGAATTTAACTGTCCTCATATACAAAACAGGTGATGGGTCTGTTAATTAACTCAGTTATGGGAATCCTTTCACTGTGTGTGTGTGTGTGTGTTTGTGTGTATAATCATCATGTTGTATATTATAAATATGTAACAATTTTGTCAATTATACTGCAATAAAACTGGAAAAAAATCAAAAATAACTCAAATCTCTATCTAACAAAATGGACAAATGGACAAAATCAATATATTGTTTAAGGATATTAAGTATGATAAAAGCTATAATGAAAACCAAAGAATAATTAATGTAAAATTAAGGAACAAGATCATTTCTGATTAAAAAAAGAGGAAAATGCAGTAAGGAAGAGACATTTAGATAAGTTTGTTTTTAATGACTCATTTCTTAACATGTGAAGTATGAGTACAAGTTTCCATTATAGAGGTGACAAACAACAAGGGTTTGAATTCTGAGGGTCCACTTATATACAGATTTTTTCAATAGTAACAATATTAAATTTAATATTTAAATTTGTGTATAATTTATATATTAAATACTTAATATTTTTATATATTGAATATTTATAGTAGAAATATTAAGTATATTTCAGTAGTAAAAATATAAATATATCCCAAGACTGGTTAAGTCCACAGATGCAAGGGAGATAGGGATAGACAGAGCCACTGTAAATTAGATTTTCAACTGTGCAGAGAATAAGTGCCCCTAATCCCCATGGTGTTCAAAGATCAACAAGACTGCTCTTTAAAACTTTTAATAACCTTTTATTCTTTCATAACAACCAAAAAAGAAACACCTCAAAATAAAAAAGAATTTATAATTTGTTCTTTTAGCTGTTTTATTATCTTGATAGAACAAAGAGAAATCTTAATAAAAGAAACAATTCATTTTTAAATGGGCAAAAGACTTGTAGAGATACTTTAAAAAGACATGGATGAATAAGCACATAAAAAAGTATTCAATACCATTATTCATTAGGGAAATACAAATTAAATCACAATAACCACTACTACACATCCACTAGATGAGCTAAATTCAAAAAGGCTGACAATACCAAGTGTTAACCAAGGATGTGAAAAAACTGAATTCCTCATACACTGCTCACGGAAATGTTGAACGGTACAGTTTAGCCACTTAAGGAAACAGTTTTAGGTTTTGTTTCTTTTTAAAGCATAAACTTACCATATAACATAGCAATTACTCTCCTAGAGAAATGAAAACACAGGCATGCAAAGACTTGTATGCCAATAATCATCGTGACATTATTCAAATAGCCAAAAACAGGAAACAATCTAAATATCCATCAATTCTGCTTAGAAATAAAAAGTTAACAAACTTTTACTGTTACATACAATATGAATGAACCTCAAACTACATGCTAAGTAATTCCATTACATGAAATTGTAGAAAAAGCAAAACTGTGCAGTCAGAAAGCAGATTAGACATGTGCTGGCGTTAGGAGTATACCTGTAGTTAGGTCTTGAGGGAACTTTCGGGAGTGATGGACATAAGTGAATGGTAGTGGCAGTTGTGCAACTATATAAATTTACTAAAACTGATCAAATTGTACACTTAAAATAGGTAAATTTTATGGTATGTGTATTATACCTCAACAAAGCTGGCTAAAGAACCCCATATTTTTTTAAATCTACCTGGGACTTTTTTAACTTTGGGGAACATATTAATTAAAGAGACTTAAATGGTCAGAGAGCACTTTCATTAGTCAGCAGTGCTTCTTTCTGCACAAGGTAGAATTAAAATAAATCACAATTTTTTGATGAGTCCCTGTCTCAAAAGATCTTCCAGGACATTCTGCAATACAAAGGATTCTCTTAGCCCACTCAATCTCATTCATAACTGGGAGATATATATAGTAAGTTCCTTACTTTTTTTCGGTTCTTTCTTCAAGTAGTTCTATGATCATTTATTCATCTAATATTCATGTTAAATGATATATGCTATAATTTGATATATGCTAGGCACTATATTTGAGCAAGTAGTAGCAAGCAGTAATTCTTGCTTTCTGTTCTGAAAGGTTTAATCTTCTAATTTACAGGAAGAATGATGGGTATTTACAGAAATACACCCAAAAAACCCCACCAGGAATTAGGGAGTTATAAAAATGTTTTTAAGTATAAAGCAAGGACACCAGAGCTATTCACTTGTTTCGTCAAGCTCTCTAAACTATTTATTATATATTCTTAAATAAGGCAGAAATATCAGTCCCCAATTCTCCTAAGGAACAAGTGATAATCCTCAGTAGTTTCGGTAGCATATTAGAATTTCTGTGTGTTCCACACTGGACTACCTATACTTCATTTTGCTGGGATGTCTCTCAGCCTCAAGGTCTTTGCTGCAGAATTCTTAGATTTTTCCTTACAAATGTGTTCAAAATTCTGAATTTTAAGTCTTTTCATCTTCTCTCCTCCTCTATAAATGTATATCTACAGATGTACATGTTTTTTCTTTGCATCACAAAATTAACATCACACAATATATCCCTGTTAACAACAGGCACAACATGGAGTCATGTTTGCTTGCTAAGCCCCAAGTCACCAAATCAAAACTTAGTTTTAGCTCTCCCAGAAATGGAATCTTAAACCAATCAGGAGTCCTCTGATCAGCACTAGTTATATATTATAACTGACAGACCTCTGCCATCCCCTGAAGGAAAGTCACCTTGCCATAACCAACACTCTTTTTGTCTATAACTTCCTTGTTCCTGCTCACTTTTGCCTATGAAAGTATTTTATTTCGTACAGCTACTCAGAGCTCCTTTCTGTCTCCTAGACTGGATGCCATATCACTGAATAAAGCCAATACAATCTTGAAAATTTACTCTGAATTTTCTTTAACACCCCACTCCACAACTAGCTTTTACTTAAATGTACACCACAGAAATCCCTTCACATCAACATATATAATTTGGACATTCTCTTTAATGGCTGCATAATATTCCTCAGTATGGGAATATCAGAAGCCATCCATTACCCTACTAATGGGAATTCACTGTTTCCAGCTTTTTGTCACTATAAACAGTATTGCAAGGAACACCAGTGGACCAGGTGCTTATGGTGTGCTTTTATTTCAGTATGATACAGATGGAGAGGCATGGCTAGGTCCTTTTAATACACTATTACAAGATGCCATATAACTTCCAAAGAGGATAGAAATTCAAATTTCCATTCAGCCCTAACCTGAAAAACGAGTTATTATAAATGTAACACTACTAGCAATAAATTTGATAATAATGAAAATTATTAACTTGCAGCCAAAGTGCTAAATCATATCAAAATAAACCATTTTTTTAAATACACTACCAGGGATTCAAAAGTACAGGACAATTCTGCCATCACACTCATATTCTGCTCATGAATACCTATCTACACCTGCAATGAGCACGGAAGAATAAGCTATATTTGCAACAATGTCATGTTACCCTTTATACCTTACACTTAAGATTATGGAGCTTAAGTATCATGTTTTCAATGTCTAAATTCTAAGAACATTAATAACGCTTTTATTTTTTTTTAATTCGTAGCTTAACAAATTGCTTTGGGCCTCATAGTCTGTACACAGAGTTTTCTCATTACACTAAAATAATTTGATTTCTCTGAAGACAGACTAGAAAACAAACAGACCCCCGACAGGTATTACTGGCCGTGCTCCTCAGCAGCCAAAACTAAGGTATAAAACAGTCTGTCAAAGACTGCTATTTTGCCTCCTACATTTTTTAAAAGGGCAATAAATTCCGAGTGGGGTCGCAAAAGAGTCGGACACGACTTAGCCACTAAAACAACAACAACAAATAAGTCATTTTAACAAACCCGCAGAACATCCTTGGAAATTCAACATTAAAACAAGGGAAACACAGTCTCACACTTGAAACTCTATAGAAATTAGAACCAATTGTGAATTTACGCCTCCAAAATAACTAACTACTACTGGGTCATCCTGAATTCAACTGAGTTACTCTGTATTAGCAGTTCTGTGGAATTCAATCAACGCTTAACTCAAACCAGTTGAATTCCTACATTTGCTAAAACACGGTCCCGACCCACACGCAGAAGAAAGCTTTCAGGATTTGTCTCACTGCCTAATCCAGAGATTAACAGAAATTGTCTCCGCACAGGTGACAGTGTTTCTTTCCCTAACCTCATAAGACAGAAAGCATGGGGCGAGTAAAAAAGCCTTTTCTAATGAAAACCTCCCTTCTCTGTCCGGAGCACCTCAAGAGCAACCCCAGTCCTAGCACAGGCCCAGAGCTGGAAAGATCTCAGCCGGGACCCGGGCCGAGCAGTTCCCCAGAACCCGACCGCGTCACCCCGCCCGACCCGAGGAGTTCCAGTCCCAGCCCCGCATTTCCCCAGCGGCCGCTACATGGGACACAGGCCACCCGCCTACCCGCCTCTCCGCTCCGCTCCGCCCGGCCCGACCCTGCCCAACCCCAACCCCGGCCAGAAGCCCACACACCAAACAGAATCTTCGAAGCTCACCGCAGACAGTTTCTCTTCAGCCATCTTAGCTCCGCCCACCGCTGCGAGGCCGGAAGTTGCTGGTTTCCCAGACGACCAGGCAAACGGAAATCGTAGGACTGGGGAAGAGGGGAGGGGCCTGAATAGGGAAAGAAGTAGATTGCCGAGCGGAAGGGTTTGCCTGGGAGGTTGAGGATCTTCTAGAATGTGGGAACTGGTCGAGCGCTTTCGTGCGGTCCACTTGGCTCTAAAGGAGCCGGTGAGGGAATGCGCAGCCAGTCGTCGCCTTCGTCCCTGCCAGCCCCTATCGCCTCACGCCCTTGTGTGGACGTTCCTTGAGAAGCCCCCCGACAGCGCTGGGTACAGCCACTCCTGGCCCTGCTCAGCTTTGACGCCACCCAGCGTTTATTTCAAGACTTCTTCTGGGAGTCCCGGCTCCCAAGCCCAGACCCTACGGCTGAGAACCTCATTTTCGCCTTACATAAAAATTCGTAGTTTTCTTGACTGTCTTTATCCAGCTAAGATATTACCCGCCTCACCAGCCTCCCACTTCGGTTTACGCTAGAGGTTGCAAATCCTGCCGGTGGGCTGTATTTAAATGCAGTCTTGTACTGATCGGAAACTTAAAAATTAGGAGATTTCTTAAGCCAGAAATCTGACCTCAGAGTAAATAAAGATCCGACAATAGGTGTGCAGTCCTGCTTGATGGTAAAACAGATCTGAAAATTGGCTGCTACTGTAGGTAGCATTTGTTTACCATTCTGCCACAGTCCTGGCTTCCCAGCACACTTGGGCCGTTTTACCTTTCTAGCCCCTGGTGTGGTGAATTAAATGCTTCGTCTTTCCACGGAACGATTGTGAAAATACGTGGGCTGTGGAGTCAAACATGAGTTCTAAATTTAACTACTGCTTAACATGAGCCAGTCATTTCTTTGAGCTTCATTCATTCCAGTACCAAGAGCTATGCGATGAGCAAAATACAGGGGATCTCTGACCTTAGAGCACTATTCTCCAACCTTTTTGGCACCAGGGATCTGTTTCATGGAAGACAGTTTTTCCCACACAACCAGTGTAGGGGGGGTGGTTTGGGGATGATTCAAGAGCATTACATTTATTGTGTACTTCATTTCAATTATTACATCAGCTGTACTGTAGATTATCAGACATTAGATCCCAGAGGTTGGGGACCCCTGCTTTAGAGTGTAGTGAGGAAGTCACACATTAAATAATAACATAAGCAAAGTTTATGAAGAAACAGTTCACTAAAGAAGAAATACAAATGCGTCTTAAACATATGAAAATATAACTTTGCGAGGAAGAGAAAACATGCAAATTAAAGGTTCCAAGAGATATTTTCTACCTCTTACATTGGCAGAGAACAAAATTTTCACCGAGTTATGAGTAAACATGCATTCTTCCTCTACGGCTAGAGAGAATGTGAATTGTTACAGCCTCCATTGACAGCAGTTTGGGAATTACTTCCCAAATTAAAAATGCACATAACCTTTAATTTCTTTATTTTAATTCTAGGAATATATACTATAGGTATAAATGTGGGAAATGGCCTTAAATACAAAGTTATTCAATGCAGCATTGTTTGTAATAACCAAAGCATCAAAACAAAACAAATGCCTAAAAATTGAGGTTAAAGAAATTATGATGTGCCCATACCATATGGTACATGAAAAATAAACTATTTACATAGTGATATAAAAGATTGCCACAATATATTAGTAACAGATAAAAACAAAGTGTGGAAAAATGTACATAAGATCTGTGTTAATAGAAGAGAAGGCAAAAATAAAGAGGAATATTATGTACATCATTGCTTATATACTCAAAATATCTCTGAAAGGATATTCAAAATGCTAAAACTAAGTATTTGTAAGGAGGAGAAATTGGTAGCAGAGAGACAGGGAAGGGAAGAGACTTTATACCCTGTTATAATTTAAATTTCATATGAAATGGATATTCCAATAATACAGAAAATTAAAGGAACAACGTAAGGGACTTCCATCGTGGTCCAGGAGTTAAGACTGCGCTGCCAATGAAGGGGACACAGGTTTGATGCCTGGTTGAGGAACTGAGATCCCATGTGTTGTGTAGCAGTGCAGCGCAGCCAAAAGATAAAAAAATAATAATAATTAAAAAAATAAATAAAACAGCAATGTAACTGTATAATTAGAATTGGGGTAAATGCTGAGGAGAAACAGTGAAAGCAAATAACAGGGAGATCCACTGTAGACTTGTTTAGACAGGGAAGTTTCCCCGGGTAAGATATGTTTAAAACGAAACCTAAAGGATAAGGCATTAACTTGGGGAAGAGGGATGAGGAAGTCGGTAGGCCGGGGAAGAATTCTAAGGCAAAGGAAAAGCTTGTGCAAAGGCCCTGAGGATGGAAGAAGCTTGGCCAGTTCGTAGCACAGAAAGATCAGCACAGATGGAAAGAGGAAGGGGGAGGAGTTGGTTCCAATTGGTGGAGAGGTAGGAAAGACCTAATTTCATGGCTGAGGTCACCTCCGCAGTGATTTTGGAGCCCAAGAAAAAATCTGTTACTGCTTCCACTTTTTCCCCTTCTATCTGCCATGAAGAAATGGGACTGGATGCCATGATCTTAGTTTTCTGAATGTTGATTTCAAGCCAGCTTTTTCACTCTCCTCCTTCACCCGCATCAAGAGGCTTTTAAGATCCTCTTCACTTTCTGCCATTAGACTGGTATCATCTACATATCTGAGGTTGTTGATAGTTCTCCCAGCAACCATGATCCCAGCTTGTGATTCATCCAGCCTGGCATTTCACCTGATGTATTATGTATATATCTGCACTGAACTGAACTGAGATTATGCATATAAGTTAAACAAGTAGGGTGACAATATACTTTGGCCACCTGATACAAAGAGCCAAGTCATTGGAAAAGACTCTGATGCTGAGAAAGATTGAAGGCAAAAGAAGAAGGGGTCAGCAGAGGATGAGATGGTTAGATAGCATCACCAACTTAATGGACATGAATTTAAGCAAACTCTGGGAAATAGTGGAGGACAGAGGAGTCTGCCATGCTGCAGTCCATGGGGTCACAAAGAGCTGGACATGACTTAGTCACGACCTACTCAGCAACTGAACAACAACAGGAGAGACAAGTGGTGCAGATCCACAGAGGCCATGTGAGGGATTTCATTCTAAGGGCATTGGGAAGGCACTAGAGAGTTTTGAGCAATAAGTGATATAGTCAGAATTAATGTTTAATGAAGAGGAAAACAAGAATTGATAATCTAGAGGTGACTAAAAGATACTGCAAAAGAATAAAACAGTTCACCTAGACTGGAGTGATGGGAAAAAGAAATGGAGAAAAGGTAAATGTATTCTGAAGAATTTTACAAGGTAAAATGAATTTCCTCTGGTGTAGAATTGGATATGGGGGAATCAGGGAAAGGGATAGAGATGTCTCAGAAAGATGACTGCATTTCTAACTTTCAAAGCAATGGAGTGCACAGCACAGTCAGTTACTGACATGGGGAGCCTCAGGGAAGATGATGCTGGTGGAAAACCCATAAGCATACTTCCCAATATATAAAATCTCCCTGAAAGGGGCCCTGTGAGAAGTAAGTAACTTTTTTGTGTGTCTTTGTTATTAAGTAAGGAGAAGTCATTAGCACATGTTTAAAAATCTCTCCTTTGACCCCAGAGATGAGTAAGAGCACTTTCTGTGCAAGGGCCTTTCTCATGAGAAAGAATGTTGGTTTCTCAAATGTCAATAACTAAATCTAATGTGCTAATTAGATAATTAGAAAAATTTCAAAATGTGTAACATTTTCCAGGGAAAAGATCCCAGAATCACATAGATAATGCTTCTTATGTACACGTAAGTCTTCATTTCCCTTAGAAAACCTCCTTGGATGTAATCTTGTTTACCAGGATCATTCAAGTCATCTAGATGGGTAAGGCATTCCAAACAAAATGGAATTTATCTTTTTTTCCCCCATGATAGAGTTGATGAGGCAAGAGAAGAATCAGGCATCAGTAACTTTTTAACATTCCCAAAATACGTATAAAAGAGTTGCAGTTGAGTTTCTACATTTTAAATACTTCAATATGTCATTCCCACTCTGGTTGGGTCTACAACCAACTTTGTTCTGACACTCCCTACCAGGTAACTCTCCAGCCTCTCATACCTCTTTTGCGGTATTCAGTCTTCCCCAAACCCATACCACTAACTTCCGAGAGCCCAGCCAGCACGGGAAACACCTTGAAATAATCTGAAGCTCCAGGAGCTTCTTGAAGCATTTTAAACATGCCCATTCCTGGTATTTTCTAGTAAACATGCCCATTCCTGGTAGTCCAGTGGTTAGGACTCTGCACTTCCAACACAGGAGATACAGGTTTGATCTCTCTCTGGTTGAGGATCTGGCATGCAGTACAGAATGGCAGGAAACAAACAAACAAACAAAAAAAGGCATACTATGCAGCTTGTAAAGAACTTTAAGATGGTGAAATAGTTAAATGGAAAAAAAAAAAGCAAAATGTAGAAGATACAGTGTGGTTCTATTTGTGTTTAAAAAGCCGGGAGGGGGGCGGGGGCGGGGGAACTTCCGTGGAAGATCACTGGTTTAAGACTTTCAGCGTCCACTGCAGGGGGCACAGGTTCTATCCCTAGTTAGGAAAGTGAGATTCCACATGCCATGTGGTGCAGCCAAAATTTAAAAAGGGGAGGGATATGCATACTTTTTGAAAATATAATTTTGAGAAATTATCACACAAAACTGGTAATGATGTTTGTCTCTGCAGAGGGTGTAGAGAGGACTATAATGGGAAGGTAATTCCCTTTTCATTGTTCACCATTCTGTAAAATTTAGCTTTTTATTATCTGTGTAGTTTTAATTTTAAAAACTATTTTAAAAATATGCAGATGAAACCATTTTTTAAAGCTCCCATTCCTGGATTTCACTCATTTGCATGTAGAAAACCACAAGGGTCATCTCTCTCTCACCCTAGCAAACAAAGGCTAGATTAGCTTGAAAATCAAACATATTTTTAATTCATCAGAGAGC